TCGTCTTCGCAACGAATTTAAAATACGCTCCTGGACGATATCGCAAAATGGCGTAGCATTAAACTTGCCATAAATAAATACAACACTTCTAACTTCCACTGTTTATTTTGTTTGAAAACCCTACCCGACAATAAAGATAGTACTTCTTTCGAGAATCTCTTCTCACAGTAGATGGAAACTATTATGTTCAATTGAAAAACTTTGGTGGCATTGATGGATGATCCTTTAACGTAGTTTCTAATTTTATTGCAGGGTTTGTAATTAATAACCAGCATCACGAATATATTGAATTTCGGAATGACAGCCACATGCTAAAGGCGTAGGCATTTTACATAATTGTAAGCCTGTGGAAAAAAATTGGGAAGACACAATTTTAAATTGGCAATATTCCTATCCTATTATAGATATAAGTAATTTCAGTCCTTTTTTTAGCGCATTTTCAAATTCATGTTGGAAGGCGCTATTATGGCCACTTGCTCCGCCCGTCCGTCCGTCCGAAGTCTTAACTACTAGAATTGCTAAATGTAGGGCTTATTTTGTTATCCATTTTACTTTTAAATCATCTATGTAACAGTTCTAATTTCATTTATGGGCACTTTGAGTGTTTTTGTAAAAGGTGGATATAGTTTAGTACCGATAAGATATAATTAGAAAATTGTTAAATGGGATAAGACAATTCCGCGTACAATTTTGGTACCTACCTGACTTAAACGAGCGTCTAGGAACGGACTGTTCATTGGCCGTCGGGTTGCTACGCTCCGGTGATCGGATGAAGTTTTTTGAATTGTTGAAAAGGAGGGAAGACACGTTAAATACTGGAGTTGCCGTAAGAAAAGGGCATTTTTCAAATTTCGAGGCTGAGTTGCTGTTCGTTGAAAGCCTAAAAAACTCGCGTCCTGCATTAAGTTTGTTTGTTAGTAAAATTCGTTACGTAACAATCAGGAAGTCAGCGGAATACGAGTGAAAGTTTTAAGAAGACGCACGTACAAGTTTGTCATTGAAGTTGTCCTCCATTGATTGATCTGTCGGGTGTTTGACCAGTCAATTTAATTCAATTTGAGTAGAATTACGTTCCTGCGACCTGATCAGAAGAAAAGTTATAGAAGAAAGAGTTAGTGCGATACGTTTTGGTTAAATGCGTTTTTATTTCGCAATTAGTGGTTTGTGTGCCCGGAACTTTAAACGATTCTGATAAAGGTCTCATGTTCAATTATGATTAATTTCAGTGCCCAAAGTTTAATCCAGATGTCTTCAAAATTTGTGTAAATAATCCTTTTGGAATTTGATCGCAGCCATTATTTGCCTTAGAATTCGGAATTTGAAGTCTTGATTGAATTTTGTTTATTGTGCCGTGACGGATGTGTCCTGGAAAAATTAATAAGAGAGCAAGCTAAGTTTAAGGTGTTTTGTGTGTTTTGACCGGACCATTGCACACAGCATAATTGTTTGCTCGCTCTACGTGGGGCATTGCATTTATTTTTGTATGCGGCCCGAATGCTTGGGTCACAGCAATACACTCCCCCTTCAGTAAATAAATTGCCTTTTATACAGAAAACTAGACAGACCCATTATTTTCAGGATTTGCTTACATAAAGCGTAAGGGGAAAATTGTTCAAAAAATTTATACAGGGTGCTCAAGAATTTAGGTCATAGTTTTAAAAATTTCAACTGTCAAAACTCCTACTAGACCATTTTAAAGATTTTATTTTCATTTAGATTTAGGGGCGCACCGAAAAAAATTCAGGGGTAGCAAATGGAAAATGACCCTTAAGAAAATCAACATTCTGTAGATTCTTACTATCATTGACATGACCAATAATGATGTAGTTCTTCAGCGTATCTTATATTCCATTTTACTAAATATCACAAAAACTGCAGGAGGTATAAAAAAAATGAATCGTGAAATTATAACTCTCTGTATATCGGTAATGAAGCGATTGCGATTCGTCCCTTCCGTATGTACATCATATTTAGGATTAGGAACACCCTGTATAAAATCCATCCCTTTTCACATTTTTAATATTATTAGTTCAACTATAAACAATGGCTATTGTGCAAGAATAAAAAAAATTCAATTAAATTTGACCTTCAATTATGGTCAAAATATTAATAAAATAGAACCTGCACGTATGGACTAATTTTATTACAATTAGAATACGTAAGATGTTAAATGACAACTCCAGGAAATGGAATAATAGACTATATGATGGTGTTGCGCAGGGACAGACGGGCTTGTACCAGAATGGTAATATAATTTAAATTGGTCTATTTATTTTCATTTGGCTCTATCGTTAATAAATGGTTTTTTTTTGTAGAAGATGGTCAGTCTTAAGAAATTTCCGAAACAAGATCGCTTGGTGTTTGTGCTAGTGTATCTGTTTAAAGAAAATCGCAGTTACGACCGGATGTTAAGGATTATTAACTTTGAGGCAATTAAAATTTTCTTTAACTGATTTGTATCAATCGATCGCATGCGCGTGGTATTTGTCCTTAGGCCCTGAGTGCATTTCTTTATTACAGCCATTGATTTATGTCGAATAAATTTGCTTCATCTGTAAATGATCAGCTTTGTGTTTAATCGAGCCCAAATTACGACCCAGGATATAAGAGTGCACAAGATAAATTCTATTCGTACACAGGATTATGTTAGGGATTAATTAAAATTTCGTTAAATAATTCTTTGGAATTGCGGAAGTGATCAAGGCTGCCGAATTTCTCAAATAAATAAATTTAAGTCAATATCGAGATTTTTGTCGTGGCGGACACTGGACGTGCCCTAGAAAAATTATAATTATTTTGTATAAATTTAAAATGTTTTGCCAGTAACGGAGTATAATTGAGTTAGCTAGACAGGTGTTCGTGTGGGTGGTTTAAGTGACCGTTTGTCATTGTACACAGCATTTTTATTCGGTGCCCTTACGGCGGAGGGAAACGGAAAACTTAAATTTGAGTTAGGGGAAGTTTGTCTTAGGGTAACAATTTCTTTTGGAACCCAGACATTTTTTGAGGAAAAGGAAAATTGTACTGTTGAATTTAGTGGATTTACGATTATATAGGGGTAAAAATTGTGTAGGTCCGTACGAAAAAGTTTGCAGGGTGTGTTTTCTTTTTTCATTTAAATTGAATCCGGATTATCGCAATACCGACGGAAGTTGGCACGGAGATAATACCCGGCTCGATAGACGTGCGTGAGGGAAACGTAGAGGTGTCTGCAATGGGGATGACGACAATACAGGAACGACATTTCGCTGCAATCTTGGAGGCCCTAAGAGAATCCGGGGAAAAAATGGAAAAGCCGACTGGGCAATCGAATGAAAAAATGGAGAGGTTGAATGCGCAATCGAATGACAAGACTAAGAGAATAAATAAGGAATTGGATTTGGAAATAAAGGCAACGAGAAGGCGCTCCTTGAAGAGATAAAAAAAAGTTACTGAAATCGTAGAAGAAATACGAAGCCGACCTCCAAACCACATCAGATAGTTTAGTCGAAAGTTCGGCAACAGGAGTAAGAAACAGCAGCAAGCGATTGGAGTTCATAAGGAAGTTGTCCAAATGCATGAAGAAGAGGCTTTAGTTCAGAAGCAGCAGAATGCGGTTGCAGGGGTGTTTGTAAAAGTAAAGGACTAAAGGTTGAAAGTAAACCGTTATGAATGGAGCCTGTGGGTGGGCGAAAGAGAGTATTCTTGCTCTTTTGGTAGGTTAAGTTATATGATAAATATGAATTTTTGACGTAGGTATGCTTGTGTTTAGTAATGAAGAGAATATTTTGTGGATTCGGAATTTTAATATCCTGCATTTTATAAAGAGGCGAGTGGCATCGTCGCCCCATTCCCATATAGCCACATTCATTCATGCTTCGAAAAGTTGTAATAGAGAATTTATATACGATGGACATCTTTGCCCTTAATTTAATCGTAATTCTACCGGATGAAGAAGTTCTCATTTTGTGCTTTATGGCACCCTCTAGGTACGTGTTTTATTTTGCATTGCAATCATCTCACTCAGTGCTTTCCAATTGCAGATAACCACCTGCCTCCAGCAGTTCCAACAGACCGCAGCTGTACCGGTTATCAAAAAGATTAACTACATGAAAGTTCTTCAATTCTTAGTATCTGTGTTCGGAGTAGCTATTTCACGTGTAGCGTTACATATTCAAGATCGAAGAGAAAATTTACATGACCAAAATCATGCATGCAGAACCTCGATATCGTAAAGGGCTCTAAAAAGCCCATCATCCCCATTAATATAACTGTGGAATAAAAACGTATTAAAATTAGTAACCTACGCGAATGTTTTACACAGGAAATCCTTTGCATGCATGAACATTTTTCCAATATGTGTTATCGTCGGATGAATGAAACTTCCATGTAACTGTAATATCCAGAGCGCGAATATTGATGAAATGATAAATTATTTTTACATATTGTGGGAGTTAGTATTCGTCTTTCCAATTTTAATTGCGCAGTTAAAATTGAGATCGATATTTAATAACGCAAACTCCTGGGAAAGCAAGAGATTTTTCCTAATTAAGCGTTTGGCAATAAGCGGATGTAATAAAGAAAAACTTATGTGTGTAGTCCGCCAACAAAGTTACTTTATATTGAACGTAATTTGAAAGCGCTTCAGTAAATCGTACTTACAATAATTTTCAAAATTTTCGAGTTGAAATTCAACAGGTTAATTAACTCAGGTAATAGTTTTCGAGAATGAAGAACGACTAAACTTAGAAATAATCGTAGGTTAATAAAGCTGTTTATTGTCGAGATAGGCGTCGGTTTACAAAATATGAAGCATTTGGGAACAGTTCTCGTCTTGAAAAGTGAATTTGAAACAAAAACGAGCATCTAGTGGGCATTCACAGGGGCTGTAAAAGTGCTTATGTTTCTACCGAGCCTATCTCTATCTCTGTAGGAATTTATATACATACTATCATAACGAGAATATTCTGTACAGTGTTATCTTTTATTATTAATAATAATAGTGTTATTAATTAACTTACCAGCTGCAATAATATGAAAAACGCAAGGAACTCTCTGATGCCCGATTCTGTTCGAAGCGTAGCACAGCAAAGTGCCATAATCCAATTCAGTCATTGGCGTATAAGACACTACACTCGATGTACCACTTCTGGCAATATGAGAAGAGGCAACATCCACGGAATCCGCCGAATTATTAAAGGTCCACCTGAATTGCACGTCCGTAGGATTTGCGTCCACTTGACATGTTATTCTTGCCTCTTCCTGTTTGGCCACTCCATATACTCTTGTTTGATTAGGCTTGCACGTTGGGGTAACTGTAAACAAATTTCGGCATGAACATTGTCAGTTAATTTAACCATAAATACTTCAATACCTGCTGAATTGATCACTTATAAGCTTTATGTAGTACTGTTCGTACGCACACATTTAGAAATTAAAAAATCATCTGGCAAATAACCACCCCAAAGTCTATCTATTCTTTATTTAGTATTATATCTGAAAGTTACCTTTGTAAGTTTACTTCAACATTTAAAAGTGCGAAACTATGAAATTATCTAAAGCTCTTACGCTATTTTAACGCTGCTGGTGGAACGACGTAATAAAACAAGTTGTAAATCAGCATATGCATGATTAAAGCGCATTTTTGGTAATGCAGGTCAGTATTTTATTAGCAGTTTAAAATTATCGATCTCACGAGTAATTTTGGCTGCGTTAAATAATTAATTTTATTTAATTTCAATTGACGGTACGTCTTCATTTTGTAAAACAAATCACAAAGTAAATAATAAGTTTTTATACTGGTAGCGCTATCTAACGGTAAAATTATAGCACCTCCGAAACCCATATCGAATTTATTTTCTTCAATTATCGATCTCACAAGTAATCTAACTCAAAATAGACTAGTGCCTGCACATCTACACTATAGCAGAAAGCTTTTAGTGAAAATTTGAATTCTCTAGCTATTGTAGTTGTGGAGATCTAACGCGGACAGCCGGCCTGCCAGCAATAACGAATATAATAGCGTATTTTTTTCAAAAATGCGCTAAAAAACTAAAATATACCCTGAAAATCGGTTATATTAATGTTTTTAATTTTAAGTGCCAAACCCTGTATATTTTATTATTATAGGACGCAGAACAAAACGCTACATAACAAATGTATAATTAACTAAGACTTTTTTTTTATTCAATCAATCAATCGCAAGCTTTTTACAATAAAACAAAACCAAAATGCATTTTTTTCCCCCTTCTCCCCCCCCCCCCCCTCATCCAAGTAATTCTTGAACTCCCTCTCTACAATTTCCCTGTTTCATCGCCACTACTCCCTTTTTCATTAATCTTCTTATCTGCGTATTTGACCTATTGTTTCCTTGCATTTGGTACCCTAAATATTTAATGTAGGGATTAAATGACGCCCTGTCTTAGTCCAAATCACTTCAGACTCCTGCCCTTCTATTCCCAACTTCAACTTTGTCTATACATATAGTTCCTCGATTCTATCGTTAACTTGTTAATTTTTTTCCATCCTTTTTCCCTTTCCACTCTGTCAACCGCTGCATTTAAGTCGATGAAAAACACGAACACATTTCCACCCTTTTTCCCAATGCCTTTTCCACCAATCTGTGTAATACATATATGCAGACGATATTTCCCCTCCCGTTTCTGAAGCCCATCTGTGTTTCTTTCACTACTTCTTTCACACTTCTTTTCCTAGTCTTTTGTTCAGTATCATTGCATAGATTCTACATGCCGTAGTCATTATAGTAATTTCCCTATAATTTCCCACGCAATCCTTGTTCCTTATATGAAGATTGGCACAATGGGGGTTTACAGTATAGTTGAATTCCGCAGTTCTAATTTAATAAGCGTGTACCTGAAACCATAAAACATTTTTTTGGACAGTAAAAGTTTATTTAAAAATAGAGGCAGATTAGCAAAAAAATAATGAACATGTGCGGTTTTAAAGGTTTATTCAAAACGATATGATTGTGGCGGGCTCTGTGACGTAATAAGCCCGACCAATCAGCTCCTAGAACCATTCAGATGACATAACGACTTGGCAATATTGCAGGAGAATGGCATTTATAACTTGCGTCATCTGTCACAGGCACTTGTCACTTTCGTGCTAGATGCAGTTAAACATCCCTCTCAAAACGTCAAATGTGACAAACGTCAGACCCTCGCGTAAGGTTGCCAGCTCACTTCTACGTGATTGGTTGTAGGTTTGTGACGTATTTAGTCTGAAGCGTTTCAAATTCGGACTAAAAACACAGCTTTTCAATAATTTATTTTGGGTTTATTTTACTCGCAAATAAAAATTGAGGACACACGGGTCTTTTTATTTTTAATGTACTTTGTGGATCAGAAATAAAAATGAAGGCGGGATGACCCCATTACCCTTCCCTCCCTCTTCGGGTAAACGACATCCTTTCCATACCTTGTTTACAAGATTTCTCATTCGTTCTTTGACCAAATCAGCGGTGAAACCGCATTACCTATCTGGTTTTCCCTTTCTTCGGTCTTTTTAATTGCTGCTCGATCTCCTCATCCATATCCTTCTCTTTCTCCTGCTTTCCTTGTAGTAACTTGTTATTTCCATCCCTCTAATTAAATTCCCTCCCCCAACGTGTTCATCTGTTTATAAAAAATCCTCTCTATTTTTATTTCCTTGATCTGCTCTTCGTATTCTTTCTGTTTCTCCATCTTCTTTTCCTTACATTTTTTGTACTTCTTTCTGTTCTACCAGGCCTTTTTTCCTCTATGACAACTTTTCTTTCTTTCTCCATCATTTCTCTGTATCTATTTCTCTGTTCTGTATACTCTTTGTATCACCACTCCTTTCTTTTTGCTCTCCCCTTCCTTTCAGTTATTTCCACGTAATTGCTTTTCTCCTTTATAGTATTCCACTCCTCTGTATTCAATTTTAGGCTCAATTCCAACATTGGTGATCCGATTCTCTCCTTGTTCCTATCCTAAATTCATCTGTTCGTTTTAGTATTGTTAGCGCATTTTCCAACGAAGTTGGATGCGCTATTGCAGCTACTTTCTCTCTCCGTCCGTCTGTCTGAGGACGTAACTACTCCTACAGTTTTTAAATTATTTAGTTCGTTCTTTTTGCATTCGGTCGGTAGCGTATAGCCCTGGCACCTGAGACAAGGAAAATCTTGACGGTTAAACTGCGCAACATCAACTTTCTTATTTATTAATATATTTTGTTGAAATTTTAACCACAGACAGTTCTAGTGGTGGCAAACAGATCGTATATAGTAAAAATCAGATGTGCGCATGCGCACACTGCGCAATGCCAACTTTCTTTTTTATGAAGATATTTATTTCAAATTTTAACCAAGGATACTTTTAGTAAAAGCAAACGTATCGCATATTGTAAACTTCAGATTAATGTGCGCATGCGCAGGATGCACAATATCAACTGTCTTATTTATCAAGATATCTTTTTGAAATTTTAATCACAGACGATTCTGTTAAAGGCAAATGTCTGAAATTGCAAACATTAGATGTGCGCATGCGCAGTCAATTTTAACCATAGATGCCCCTAGTAAAGAAAAACATACCACATTTAGTAAAAATCGAAAACCACAAATGTTATTAGCAAAGGCAAACACATCGCACATAGTTTGCAGACTGCAAAATGCCACCTGATTTACTTATGAAGATCTCTCTCTCCCTCTATTTTCATGAGTTCACTAGGATCAAAGAGACTTCAAGTCATCACCATCAGCGTTTAAACGGAGAGAGAAAAAATTCATGAGACTAATAAGAGTAGAATCCGTTCGATCTATGAATCCAGGTGTGAACAAGAAGTTTTGATATATTTTTTTGCTCTTGGTTGAATTTTTTTAACGGCACGACCCAGTGCACAAGGAAAAATGGCTTTATTCTACCTCTCCGTGAAGTTAGTCTAGCCAGCTTAATTTTGCAGTAACTTCTCCGATAAGTCTATGACTTTTATCTAATTTAATGTAAAAACAAACAAACGAAATCATACGCCAGCATAAGCTATAAACCTCCACATTTTGAACAATCTCAATAAAAACGCAAGCAATTAATTCAAAGTAGCAACGAAATTTTATAGCAGAGATAAAATTGAATGTTTTTTGATTATGACTGGGATACAGTAATTATTTTTTTTATAAAGCTCTCATTAAAATTGTGCTGATTTGTAAATAAAACTTTTTATATTTAAAATTTTCAAGCTTGTAACTTTCATCCCTTACTTGCGTAACTAAGCTACAAAGTTTGTGGTTTATGGATGAAAGGAGAGCTTCAACACTCATTAGTTTGCACTTAAGCCCATAATTTATAATACCAACAACTTTTCCTTCGGTTTTCCGATTTTGAAAACTTATAAACGTTTTCCCATCTCTCTTTTCATGCAATAACAAAAGGTACGTATGTGAAATGGGAACGGCGAAAACCATCTAAATCTCACCTAAAAATCTCACCGACGTTAATTTCGCACATCCATGTGTTGATAAATTCAAAATACGTATTCTTTTTACTGCAATATTCGTAAAATTTATGAGTTCCATTTCACACTTCGTGATCAACGCAGTTACACATTTTCATTTTGTTTGATTTTCCAATGTTACAGACGCAGTTATACTTACACATGACGTTTAAATAGAAGGGTTTGCTTTCACCATCGCCCTCGGTGTTATATCCAACGCACGTGTAATTCCCAGCAGTCGATCTGGAAACTCCTTGAAGCACGAGGCTTTGATTGCTAATTATTGTACCCGATCCCACGTTGTGTTGTAACGCCTTGCTCTGAAACAAAACGGAGCACTATAATGAGTTGTGTAATGCAGGAAGAATTTGATGCGATGCTTTATTAGCTTTACTTGGGGGATGTAGATAAAGTATAATCAGTAATAATCACTAAGGAAAATGCGGCATGTTTCATGAAATTAGGATCAAGTGTCTAATGAAATAAGTAAATAAGGGGTGCATTTTGGGTGTGGTAATACGGAAATCAATGGAAATTGTATTTAATGACTCAACGATTTTCCTGCAGTAGTCCCAATATAAGCAATATACGAACTCGGTGCAAGGGTAATAGTCTAAGAGCTAGTGACTTTTATTATTTGTTGATATACCACCGCCACGCCATCCACGAAATTTCTGCCAGACGCTCGAATATGTTATTAGCATATACATAACTATCTTATATCCAAATATCAACAATAATCAAACTGTTTAAAAAAATTTGCCATAGCTCTTCTACTAGAAGGAATTTGAAATGAGTACCTACGTTAGATACTCTCATATTTCATATAGAAATAGTTATTTACATAGTTTTGTATTACAGTTTTCCCGAAATGTTTTTTTTAATATAAATTTTCAATTTTATCTAGATCTTTTGATTAGTCGTGTCAGTGATGGCAGTTAAGTCATTAGACATTACCAATGTGACAGGTGGCAGGAAAAGCAGTCAGGAAAAGTGTTACTGCCACTATCATGGAAATTAAAATTTTCTCTTATAAAGTAGGTATGGCGATTTCGGAAAAAATATACTACCTACTGAAATAGGTATGTTGTTTTTTGTTATAATTAAGAAGTCCATTCTATATCACGGTTGTTGAGACATAGCCGAGATTGCCTAACAGGGGTAATAGTTCATGGGCCAGTCAACATGTCGCTATAATTTTCCTTTTTACAATGGGTATACAGGGTTTATTAGGATGCCAAAACACCATAATTGCCATCTCAAAGCGGTATAGCTAATAGAAATGGCAGTCAATCAAAGATGGCGAATGTTACCTTGCATAACCAGAATAAGACCAAATAAAGTACCAAATGACGATAATGTGCTACAGTCGAAAAGTTGGCATACGAGCTTTACGACTTTTTATTCTTGAATCCAAAAGTACAGCCTCAAAGTTTTCTACTTGCGAAACCATACCCTAACCGAGAATATAAAAAGAAAAGACAGCTTGCCATTTACCACTATGGTTTGTGCGAGCAAAATTGATCAAAAATTTCAAACATATTTTGATAACCACCCCATCGATTTTTGAGAGCACAACATTTATAAAATACCTACACCATCTACTGCAGCATTTGTCCTTAACATTTTTTCAATTTTTTTTCAGTTTCGATTTCCAAAATGGCGCCCCTCCGCAGGATAGATTGGAAAAAAATGTTTAAGGACAAATGGTGTAGGGATTCTATAAATGTTTTACTTTCAAAAATCGTGGGGTGGTTACCAAAAAATGTTTTATTAAACTTTTTGAACGGTCGCTATTTTATTATTCAAAAAAATAAAAAAACAATTATAAATGCAAATGTTTTAGACAGTTAAAACATAGTTTTTAACATTTTTGGTTTTTTTCAATAATAAGCAAGTTATAACGCGAAAAACAAAAAAAAACGCCAATACTTCGGTGCCACACCAAATCAAAAATTGGAACTGAGAAAACTTGCTTGTTTTAATCAGTTCTAACTGCCGTGTTCGAGAAAAACGACTTAATATTAATACCCTGTATGTACGACAACGCTAGATTTATCCCAACGGCTATTTTTGAAGTGAGTCATGTGTTCTTTAAAACAAATTTTGAATGGTCTCTTTGCTCGCCCAATATATACTTGATTGCAATCTTTACAAGATATTTTGTATACTCCCGATTTATCCTTCATATGTAGGGGGTCTTTTGGATTACCTAAGGGTTTGTGTATACTACCGTCTGAAGTTGTAACATTTTGTAAATTTAATCTGAAAGATTTTAGATGGACATCTAGTGTATAAAGGATATTTGCCCAATTTAACCAAATTTCTTCTTTTCTAATTTAACGTTGTTATATTCTTCGTCTGATGTCTTGTGTGTCATCGTAAGTTGTAATTTTAAAATCTTGCCCCTAATCGGCACAAACCCAGTATTTTATTTACTAACTAGCTGCCCGACCCGGCTTCGCACGGGTGTTTATAATTTTCGTATTCGTAGTTACATGTTGGGATGGATGTGTATGATGTTGGTTACAGAAAAAATATTACCTTAAAATTTGGATTGAAACTCCTTTCCCAAATTATATTTGCACCAAAGAATGATGTCATTTGGAATACACATCAGTTTATAACTGTTGAATATTCTGCAAGAAATGCTTCGATGCCCGGAAAGAAGTAATGAATTCAGTGGTTCAGGTGGCGTTGTAAGTTGCGGTAATTTGACCTTTCTACTGGTACAATATAATCCTGCTGGTTCTAGTCGAAACCTGAAAAGCGGAAGGAATTCTGTGGAGTATTGGACTCGATCATCAACTTTTTGAAGACACTCGGGTTTACATTAGAACCTAGAACTGCCGTTTTCTTGTTCCCAAAAAATACTTTCTCATTGCCCCTTTTTGAGCACCGTTGGAAGATTCTTAATACAACGTTTTGTTTCGGAGAAATTATCACAAACTATACTTTTTTATATGGCCCGTGGAAAAAGTACACATTGTATTTAGTAGCACTTTTTATTACGAATACAACTATGTACGCCACACAAATAAAAATAAAAGTTGGAAATTGTTGGTTTCAACAGGATGGTGCATCTACGCACATCTTAATCGTGCAAGTATATGTATCTAACATTTTTCTATTTTCCAGGAATTAATCCGATAGGTATGCTCGCAAGTTGTGCGCGGGTGCTGTCTTGTAGAGTTCAAAAAGTGGCAATGAGAAAAGTGTCTTTTATATTTCTCGTTGTATCTGTTCAAATAACACCAGCAAAAAATAAACATAAAATCGGCAAGTTTCGGTTTTTCTGTCATATCTTCGGAAGTAATCGGAATTTTTTTGTTTTCTCTAAAGCACGATAATAATGGTTTAATTGCGCATCTTTTCTCTAATTTGACCATCATCGTATCTTTTATGGTTTCGATCTCCATGATAGACATCCTTATCTTGGACATTCTTTCCAAGCGAGAGAAAGCCCGTACCAATAAGTACCTCGTCGTACCTACTGTAGTTTATAGTAAATCTTAAATTACTTCTTAAACCTTTGGTAAATTTAATCCCTTTATGGCTTAATTGTATGTTGGGTCGTCCTCAGAGGCACAGGTTGGAATGAATTTTGTAGTCACGGCAAACCTTGCCCTTTTTATAAATAGAATTTGCGGACATGTTTTTAAATCAGCTGCAGATGTAGGGTAGGTAGGTACGAATTTATATTTTATATCTTGACGATTATTTTCGTAAATTAATTAGGCTATTCTTTGGTTTTCATTTTTAAGAAAAGAGTGTCCTATTTGCTTCCTTAGCTTAGAGCGTCACATGTTTCGATAACGCAAGCACAACAAAAAAAGAACTATCTAATTTGATGCGCGTAAATAAATTGCGGCGATTCATTTTTATATATATATATATATATACAGGGTGTCCCTAAAAGGTCTGTACAACGCGCTACCAGGGGTTCTTGGTATCAAAATAGGACGATTTAAGCCTACTTACCTCTATCCAAAAGTGCTTCGTTAAGGCGCTATTTGCCGCCAAAGATTCAAAAAACAAATGGTTATTTTTATTTTATCGGAAAATGGTTTTGCCGATTAAAATGAAAGTCGGGATGTGAATGTCTAATGTAAAAAGGGTCTTTGTGATATCATCGTTTTGATTGTAGTTGCTATGTAGGTGGTAAAATACTGATCATCCACATCTGAAGAGGTCTAAAACTTTTTAACTACTATTTTGACGGTTCTGAATTTTTAGACACTGATAGACAGTTTACTTGCAAGCATTTTTTGTCTCTTGATGAATATCGCTATCTGTGATGGTTTACGAAAAAAAAAATAAATTTAGGCATGATGAATGGCATGCACCATACATGCGATTGTTCCTCAAAAAATCAGAAGATGGCTGTTAAACCTTAGAGTGGCTTAACGTTTGTTTGTTGTTTCTTAAACTTTAACAATTTACGTTTTGCTTGAAGACTTAAAACTTTAAAAAATAACGTACCAATGTTCCAAAGGGCACAGTTTAATTTATTACGCCGTATAATGCTTTGTATGCGTGAAACTGGTGGTCACTTTGAACATTTAGTACGTTTAAATTAATACATTACATTGACTTACTCTGTTGTGTTCGTTTATTCTACATTACTTGCTTGCACTACGGTTTCATAGCCTACTTCTTGCTTGCACTTATGGTTTTTGAGGAACAATCGCATGTATGGTGCATGCCATTCATCATGCCTAAATTTATTTATTTTTTCGTAAACCATCACCAATAGCGATATTCATCAAGAGACAAAAAATGCTTGCAAGTAAACTGTCTATCAGTGTCTAAAAATTCAGAGCCGTCAAAAAAGTAGTTAAAAAGTTTTAGACCTCTTCAGATGTGGATGGTCAGTATTTTACCACCTACATAGCAACTACAATCAAAACGATGATATCACAAAGACCGTTTTTACATTAGACATTCACATCCCGACTTTCATTTTAATCGGCAAAACCATTTTCCGATAAAATAAAAATAACGATTTGTTTTTTGAATCTTTGGCGGCAAATAGCGCCTTAACGAAGCACTTTGGGATAGAGGTAAGTAGGGTTAAATCGTCCTATTTTGATACCAAGAACCCCTGGTAGCGCGTTGTACAGACCTTTTAGGGACACCCTGTATAAAGAAAAAGATAAAGTTATCTTGGATAATGTTCTTGTACCTACTTTACGTTAAAACTCCCTGCGAAATTTGTAAGAGGAAAGGGCCATTTTAAACTCTGTATACGCGCAGGAATGATCCGAATATTTATTAATAGTATAGTCCCAGTAATCCGTGAGGTAAATAATCCCGAGTAATAAGGGTATTGCAGTCGAATAGTGAAGTCTATCCCTTGGCTAAAGATTAGGCGAGACAGTGTGTAAATCTTATGGAATAAGATTCAATGGGAACTTTCGCTTAAATTTATACTCAAATCGTTTGCCTTGCAAATTGTATGCGAGAATGAAAATAATATAATCGGTGAAGTGTAACGAAAAGCCAATGCAGGAAGATTACTGTAAATCAGCAAATCTTAAAACTGCAATTATCGTTCAACTCGGTACCGTTTCATAATGATAGTGTGAAATTTGTATGTGGGGTTAATCGGCGCCAAGCATAATGGTACCCCCATTCGATTTCCTTAGATCTAATATTTCTGAATGAGAGTCGTACAACTATTTGAGAACAGGTGGCAAATAATGATGTAAAAAAGGTGTGCAAGTATTGGTATGTAGGCTGCGGGTGCATACCCGAAGGCAAAATGCCAATCTTGAGAGGACACCACGTAGGCCCCTCCAACCACCGCGGATTTCCTC